ATAAGCTCAAGACTCCCCTCTACCACCTCTGTGCTCGTCCCTCCTCCGATCCCATCATCCTCATCATCACCCTCTCCTCCAAACTCATCCAAACTCCGAAATCACTTTAGATAGAAAAACTCCCCTTTGCACCTTCAATAAATCCTGAGCCCTTTAGTTAGTAGCTAGCCCTAGTCAATAAGGCAGTAGGGACAAAGGGACTTTACCAGGGGTCCTCTAGAGCAGAACTGTTGGGACGAATCCTCTGTGCGAGGTAGTCTTTAGTCCATCAGAAAACAAACGGTAGTCAATCCGTTGATTCTGAGGTTAGGGCCCAAGTGCCTCACAACTGCGCTCTAGTTTAAGCCGTTGACTTGCGGAGACTGGTGACGAAGAAGACATCTGTGTATCACTTCCCAAAGGCTTACTATCGGGTGCAGGGTTGACCTGTTTGCACAGAGCAGCGACCTACCTTTAGCGCCTTTCCGACCGCGTTTCTAACACCATCTACATACAAACCATCCAATATGTCGACCACAACCACCCCTTTCGATACTCTCCCCCCCAACGACCCCGTCTATGAACACCTCACTCCGGAGATGCGGCAGATGTCAGCCCCAAGTCTCGAAACTGCGGGATTCTGGGTCCTGCTCTGGGCTGCTATCCGGACGCTTCTGGGAAGCTTCACTCAGCTTCTCGGTCGCCAAGAGCGCTCTACGCTTGCAACTGAGCAGATAGCCAACGCTGTTCAGAGTTATACTACTCGCCCCGTGCACAGGAAGCCGCTGAAGCTTGATTCACCAGAAAGCTTCAGTGGCCAACCTGACAAGGTCGAAGCGTTTCTTAACGCATTGACTTTGTACTTTACCGGACAGCAGATCGGAGCGGATGACCAGCGTATCATCTTCGCTCTCTCTCTTGTCAAGGGAGGCACCGGCGAGATTGCAAGCAGTTGGGCGAACTTGCAGCGCAAGCTCATCGTTGAATCCAACGGCAATCCGAACAACGGGCATATTGGAACATGGGCCCAGTTCGTTACGGACTTTACTGCGTACTTCCAGTACCACTCCTCCAAGGATGAGGCGCAGATAAAGCTCGTGAAGCTGCAGCAAGGAAAGAGCACTGCCGATGAATACATCACCTTGTTCAAAGGCCTTGCTCCTTCCAGCGGCTTCAACAAAGAAGCGTTGTTGGATCACTTTAAACGAGGGCTAAACACTCCGTTGCGCACTGCGGTGTTCAACATCCGTCCCCAGCCAGTCACTTATGATGATTGGCTCAAAGAGGCGTCAGAGTGCGATCGCACCTATCGCAAAGCGAAGGAGTACAACGCTGCGCTGGGTAGATCCACTGAGAGAGAGACTGTGCAGCAGAAGGCAAAGACGCCCGCTGTACAAAGCGCACCTCGGGTCGAGAAAGACCCCGATGCGATGGACGTCGATCGGCACAGGGACACCCGAGGCACTTGTTATGCCTGTGGTAAACCTGGGCACATCGCACGGTTCTGCCCCAACCCGTCCAAGGCCCCCAAGTTCAATGTCCGCGCTATGGCAAAGGAAGACATTGCTGAACTTTTGAGGTCTATTCAGGAACTTCCGGATTTTCAGGAGCGCCAGGAGTGAGCACGCACTCGCTGGCTGATCGTAGCACCTATGCCCCTTCCCATGTAGTTATTCCCGAGCTTGAATCTATTCTACATTCACCAGAAGCGGTAGAGATGCGAAGTGCAAAGAGATTTCCTGAAAAGAAACTTGATCCTGGAAGTGTTGAATGGACAGCTAGGCAGCTTCGGATCGTGAAGTCCGAAGTTGCTATTGGTGTCCTGGACATATGGGCGAATAGGAGAAGGCGGGCGGAGGTAACAGAGGAGACGGTTCGTGAGCTCAACGAGCTGGATGACGACAGCTGCGTTGAAGCATTAAAGGAATTGAGGAAACCGAAGCGTTACATCCGAGGGACTGGCAATCAACTCAATATCGACGTGGTCATCAAAACCCTCGATAACCAGTCCCGCTTCAAGCTATCTGCGTTGCTTGACTCTGGATGCACGGGGAGCTGCATAAACCGCGCTTTTGTGCTCGAGCGCAAACTGAACACAAAGCGCTATCCCCGTCCCATCCCGGTCTACAACGCCGATGGTTCGTTGAATTCGGGTGGTTCGATCACGGAGTATGTCGACCTTATGCTCCAGATCGGGCAACACGTGGAAATCCTTCAATTTGCTGTATCAAACCTCGGAAAGACTGACATCTTCATTGGGCATGAATGGCTCAAATTGCACAATCCGTCCATCGATTGGGCAAAAGGAGCTGTCACGTTTGACCGTTGTCCGGTGCGCTGCGAACCTTTAGGGGGGTGGGTGGATCCTGAGTCTGATGACCCGGAACCGGAAAATCCTGAGATCGAAGAAGGAGATCGTCTACTCATGGTTGATATGCAAGAGGAAATCAAAATCCGCGCTTTTCAGACCACAGCAGCCAAAGTGTCTGAGAAGCAGCATTCCAAGAAGAAGGAACCCACCTTCGAGGAAGCGGTGCCTGGCAAATACCATGAGTTCAAGGACTTGTTCGACAAAGAGAGCTTTGATGAGATGCCGCCTTCTAGGCCTTGGGACCACGCTATCGAGCTACTTCCCGACGCCAAGGCTCTGGACTGTAAAATCTATCCTCTCAGTCCAGAGGAGCAGCGGCAACTCGATGAGTTTCTTGACGAGAACTTGAGAACAGGACGTATCAGACCATCCAAATCTCCGATGGCGTCTCCATTCTTCTTCATCAAAAAGAAGGATGGAACTCTTCGACCAATCCAGGACTACCGCAAGCTGAATGATATGACGGTTAAAAATCGCTATCCTCTTCCGCTTATCCAGGAGCTGGTGGACAAACTCACACACGCACGTTACTTCACCAAGCTGGATGTCCGTTGGGGCTTCAATAACGTCAGAATCAAGGAGGGAGATGAGTGGAAGGCAGCGTTTCGAACTAACAGAGGGCTGTTTGAGCCTCTGGTTATGTTCTTTGGCTTGACCAACTCTCCAGCAACGTTTCAGACAATGATGAACACAATCTTCAAAGATGAGATCGACGGTGGAAAAGTCATTATCTACCTCGACGACATCTTGATATTCACTGAAACGCTGCAGGAGCACGAGGTCATGGTCCGGAAGGTCTTGCAGAAGTTGCGTGCAAACAAGCTGTTCTTAAAACACACCAAATGCTCGTTTGAACAGTCCGAGGTAGAATACCTTGGTGTGATTGTTTCGCACAATGCAGTGAGAATGGACCCTGTTAAAGTCGAAGCTATTGTCAACTGGCCTGCTCCTGAGCAGAAGCGAGATGTGCAACAGTTTCTAGGGTTCATGAACTTCTACCGTCGATTCATCGAGGCTTTCTCGGCCATTGCCAGACCGCTGTCTGTGTTGACGGGAAAAGGAGCGTGGGTGTGGGGAGCGGCACAGGAGCGTGCATTTGCGGAGTTGAAGCGTCGGATCACGTCGGCACCGGTCTTGGTTATGCCAAGAGCCCGTGGACGGTTCCGTTTGGAGGCCGACTCGTCGGATTATGCAACTGGTGCTATTCTATCTCAACAGCAGGAAGACAACCACTGGCGGCCTGTTGCATTCATATCCCATGCATTGAATGCAACGGAGCGTAACTACGAGATATACGACAAAGAGATGCTTGCAATCATGCATGCACTGTCGGAGTTTCGCCAGTACCTGCTGGGAGCCTTGGAGGACTTTGAGATTTGGACAGACCACAAGAATCTCGAATACTTCAGGAAGCCCCAGAAGCTGAATCGACGACAGGCGCGGTGGGTGGCGGAGCTGCAGGAGTATCACTTCACCCTGCACCACAAGCCGGGCAAGGCGATGCAGAAAGCGGACTACCTCTCGAGACGAGCAGGTCATGAGAAGGGGGAGCACGACAACGAGAACCTGGTGCTTCTCAAGCCGGAGTTCTTCCGAATTCATCACCACGATGTCAGCGCTATTAGCGATGATTTCATGGCTCGGATTAAGCGTGCTGCTCAAAATCGTGACAAGCTCGTTGTCCGCAATCTTGCAAACAAGGAGAAGGACTGGGAGGAGCTGGAGGGCGGGATTGTGACTTGGAAGCACCGGTTCTATGTACCCCGAGATAAGAAGCTGCGTGAGGACATCATCCGCGTTCACCACAGCACTAGTCTCGCCGGTCATCCCGGACGCTACAAGACGCAAGAGCTGATCACACGCAACTACTGGTGGCCGCGTTTGCAGATAGACATTCGTTCCTATGTAGATGGGTGCCAGGCTTGCCAAAGAACCAAACCACGACGAATGGCACCCCCTGCACCTCTGTCTCCAAACACGGTCCCCACACGTCCCTGGCAGATTGTCTCCACTGATCTGATCGGTCCGCTTCCGGAGTCTAATGGTTACAATGCGATCCTGGTATTTGTTGATCGATTTGGAAAAGCTGCAAAATTCCAAGCAGTCCACATCGAGCTCAACTCCCTTGGTTGGGCCAAGCACTACAGAGATCGCGTGTTCCGTGACCATGGGCTTTCGGAGCGCCTGATCCACGACCGGGGTCCGCAGTTCGCGTCGCAGTTCAGCAGGGACTTGTGCAAGCTATTGGGCATTAAGCAGAACATATCTACTGCGTACCACCCACAGACTGATGGGCAGACAGAACGGGTCAATCAGGACTTGGAGCAGTATCTCCGGATCTTTGTCAATCACCGACAGGACGACTGGGCTGAATGGCTTGCCATTGCCGAGTTCTCCTATAACGACAAAGTCCACACTGCTACTGGGTTCTCTCCGTTCTTTGTGAACTCTGGACAACATCCCTGGAAAGGGATTGAGCCCAGAGGGACAGTGCGCACGCCTGATGCCGAGAAGTTTGCCAAGACCATGCAGAAGATCAGAGAGGAAGCAGAGTCGTCTCTTAAAGCAGCTGCAGAGACAATGAAGCGATTCTATGATCGGAAGCGCACGGATTGTTGAAGGTCCTTCTGGGAGTTCCCTTCGCACCGTCGGCTGGATAGCTCAATGGTAGATCTTCGGGTCAGAGCATCTCACATGATACGAGAAGGTCCTAGGTTCGATTCCTGGTCCAACCCTCCTTTTGTGCAACAACACGGATGCTAAGGAGTACAAGGCAGGCGACATGGTTTATGTTGAAGGAGTTAACATCACTACGACTCGTCCTGCTAAGAAGTTCGATGACAAGCGCTATGGTCCTTTCAAAGTGCTTGAGAAAGTCGGATCTTCCTCCTATCGTCTCGAACTCCCCCACTCTTGGAGACACAAACACCCTGTCTTCAATGAGGTCCTCCTCTTCCCCTTTGTTGAACCCAAGTTCCCCTCTCAGAAAACCCCTCCCCCGCCGCCGCCCGAGCTAGTTGATGGTGAAGTGGAGTATGAAGTCGAAGCTGTGCTGGATTCGAGAGTTAAGCGTAGAAAACTCGAGTATCTGGTGCATTGGAAAGGATACGGAAAGGAGCATGACAGTTGGGAACCAGTTGAGAACTTGACAGACAACGTGGGAATGGTAGCGGAATTCCATCGGAAAAATCCGTCTGCCCCGCGTCCCCTCCCTCGCACCGTGCGCCTCGTCTACAGGCGCATCGAGAACTTTACCACAACACCTCGATTGCCGGGACATCTGTACAATTGGGAAAACGGAAAGCTTGATGCTAACACCACCAAACCCATTATGTGGACACAATCCTTAAGAGGGGGGTAATGTCATGAATCATCAGCATCATCAGATCATCATCAGATCTGCTCTGATCCGCTCCGATCCGGTTCTATCTTTACTTAGAAGCTTATCTAGTTATATCGGACCTTATCTAGCTATATCGGACTTGTATTAGTGATAGCCTCATGTTTCTTACTCAGAAACTCATGTTTCTCACTGAGCAACACATGTTGCTGACTGAGGCCTTACTGAGCGCCTCGAGGCTTCGGCATTGCATAGTAGTAGTATATATATGTCCCTGTACTTGTAGCACTCTCCAGTCTTGAGCTGGTCGTATCTCCACTAGCAATATAGGCACTTTCATCCCCACTTCATTCTGAGCACAGACTTGGCCTCTTTGCATCTCCTCAGCATTGCATTGGCTAGTGTGTCTGACACTTCTGCTCGACAGGTTTCCGCGCTTTCAATTCCGCCCTCCACCGCCCTTCTTCTTGACTCATACGTGACCGAAAACATTCCGGTAGTCTAGTCCGCTGCTGCCTGCCCCCAATAAATCCCGCCGCCCTTCAACTTGCCTTTTTTGTACTCCCCTCATTTGATAAAACCTCACCCGTCAACGGATCATATTATCTTCCAAAAAAACCCACCATGCCCCGCGACGCCCCCAGTGACATCGCCCGCGCCGACGGATCGTATCGTCTTCCCAAAAAAACCACCATGCCCCGCAACATCGCCCGCGACGCGTCTGGCCTCTACGATAAAAAGCAAACAAACCTCACCCAGGGTCACTCGTTCACCAGTCGCCGTCGCGCCATCGTCGGCGCCTTTTCTCCCGCCCGCGAAGTGTTCCTCACGCGCTTCCTTCCTGGCTACTACGACGCCTTCGAGCGCAAAACTCTCCCGACCGAATTTTGGCCTGCGCTCTACAGCGAATATTGGATGGAATTCCCTTGGCGCCTGCCTTTCGACACCGACCCCCACTGCGCTATGACCCTCGACGTTCGGGGGGAGGTGCTTTCGCCCGAGGACGTCGACGCGCAGACGGCCACTCATCTCATCACCAACAGCGTAAGTTGGTTTTTTATTTTGTTTTCTCTCACTCACTGGCTCCCTCCCAGAAACTCCGTGCTTGGTTCCACCGCCAACGCTACCATCGCGACCGCCTCGCCTCCGCCGCCGCCGCCGCCGCCGACACCACCGCCAGCACCAGCACCAGCACCAGCACCACCACGAGCACCACTGCGAGCGCGAGCGCGACCACCAGCGCTTGAGACTCGCCCAAAAAAAGGTACACAGTTGTCCCCTTCCCTCCTCCTCACTCCGCTTCTGACCCGTTGCTTCCTTCTAGAATGGTAGTACTTGTCCAGTCGCCGTGGTAGTACAGTGGTTGTCCAGTCCTCCGTGTCCGCGTCGTAGTTGTCGAGTCGAGTCGAGTCCATACGTTCCCGAATATATACATATTTTTCTTGGTTAAACCGTGTGATTTAAATAGCGCTTTTGAGTTCACTCGAATTCGAACAAACGGTCAACTCAATTCAATGCCAATTGATTCAATTCAATGTACAATCGTTTTCTGTGAGTAGAGAGAGTAGAGCAGAGAAAGTACAAAACACAAGTTGAAAAAACGGCCTCCAACTCCTTGTAAACGCAGCAACAGCAGCCCTGCAATACCACTACGTACACCCACACGCGTCCATGTTCTCGAAGGTTGGGGCGGGAACCGCGTGGTGAAACATGAATTCGAGGGCTTCATCGTCGAGCTCCTCACCGTCGGCTCTGCCTCGGCTGATCCTTTTCCAAACGCACTCCTTCACGGGGTCCTCCCTGTCGAACGATAACTCCAGCGTGCAGCGATTGAGTTGTTTCACGGTCGCGTCGATCTCCGCGGCACTGATGTCGGTACGCGGTTCCTCGGTGGCGCTCTGGAGGATGAAAAGCGCATCCTCGCGGTCGAAAGGGACGCCGGCGTCGCGTTCCCGGAAGCGCTCGAGGGCGGCCAGCCATCCGGGGTCGTCGCGGTGCGGGTTGATGACGCCGACGTGGCGCTGAACATGCAGGCGGTAACGCGCAAAGAGCGGGCTGGTGATTATATGTCAGCGCCTGTCGATCGGCGGGGCGGGAGGAAGAGGAAGACACACCTCGCCCTCAAGTTCTGCGAAGCTTTACGCGATTCGCGCAAACGGTGCATGCGCGCCCGCGCCTTCTCTCGTTCCTCCGCGCGATGTTTGTCGCGATATTTGGCTTGCGCCTGCGCCCGACGCTGGGGGACCCGTTCGGGGACGACCGCGAAGCTGGAGAACATGGCCGCACGGTTTCGGAGGCTTGACGCATGGCGCATGTCAACCCATTTGTCAAGTCCGCGATGCCTCTTGAACCGCACGCTCACGCGAATTACGTCCAAGCCCTTCCGCCTCCGCCCTCCATGGCCAACAAAAAATCGAAAACCCTGCGCTCCGCCTCCTACTGGCGAGATTTCCATCGTCAACGCGCGCTCCGCGCTGCCCGTGCGGCTCGCGGTCCAATCGATCCCGAATCCCTCACACTCGGTGCCGTACCATCCACGCAGGCCATCGTCACCTTCATCCCCAACCGCAGCGCCCCCGTCTACAGTCTCCGCCAAAACGACGGTTCCCTCGTCCGTTCGTACGACCCCACGTCGATCCAACCCAACCCCCCCGCGCAGGAGGACAAGAGGCTCCCGGCGAGGAGAGAGAAGCCGCCGCCGCTCTCCAGCTTGTCCACCGCGGCGAAGCGGGCGAGCGCCCGCCAGGGACCACAACTGAGCGCCGATGACATCCTTTTGGAGCGCCTCCAGCCCCGCGGCCGGTGAGTGCATACCTCTCAGGGGGAGGGCGCTGATTTCTGATCCTTCCTGACAGCGGCGGGAGCGGCGACGGCGCGAAGAGTCACGCGAGTAAGGCTGGTGGCAGCAAGGCTGCGAGTGGGGGCAGCAGCAGCAACAGCGGGCGTCGCGACTCGTAGTTTGCATGGCGAATGTTGTTGTATCTTGGATTGTGTATTGGAATAGAACGCCTTCTCCGACTGCAGTTTTTGAGACTTTGAACACCACATTTTCTGAGACTTTGAACACCGCCAAGAACGTGGCGAAGGCGAGAAGCCCAACGGTTGACAAGAGAAGCGTCATGACACCGCAGGCCGAATTGGGAGTGTTCGTGTTGCGGGACGAAATTTGGCCCGTGCGGGGGCACTTGAGGCCAGAATCGCCCTCCAAAGGTGCCAACTGAATTCCACCGGCGTTAGGTAGCGCCTGAATTTTTTCCGAGAGGACTGCGCGAGACGACGACGTCAAGTTTGAAGTGGTCCAAGTGAACCAAGACCGAAGCCAGGATTGCGTAGGGGATCCTGGTTGGATTTGGTCTTTGCGTCGCCCCCGCAAGAGACTGGAACCTACCTGCCGCCACCATCGGATGCAGCGTCCCATTTACCGTGCGTGGCATCTGCGAGGACTTTAAAGTTGGCTGGAGGCGCATAGCTACATCGAAGTGGAAGGCGAGAGGTTTGTCCCAAAAAGGAAGCGGGTGTTCACAACTCCATTTTTTGTGAGGCATTTGAGTAGTTATATATTCAATCCAGTCTATTGCAGATGTACATGCAGTTATACATGGGACGCAAGTAGCAAGTAGCAAGCGCGCGGCGAAGAGCGTCCAAAAACGAAGAATGTATACGATATAAGTTCAGTCAGGCGCGGCGTCGACGACCGCGTCGACGTCCGCGACGCAGAACTCGTCGTCCTCGGAGGCGGCAATAAAAGTCACCCCGTCTGCGAGCTTCTCGTTGGCGTTCAGGTAGCGGTTGTGCACGGCAAGCTCGCGCGCACGTTCCAAGTTGGTGGTCGCGTAGATGGTCCCCCACGGATTGCGGACGCTGTACCAGGTGGTGAACGCAAAGCCCCCCTGAGGTGCGAGGTGAGAATTCAGCGGGAAAGAAAAGAGGGGGGGCAAGGAAACGTACCAGTGAGTGATGATTCTGTCGCTGTGATCAACGATGAAGTAGATGGGCACCGCCGGCTCGAGCTTGCCCCCGACTAAATGCCAGGCGTCCTTCAGACTCTTCGTGATCGCGAGCAGTTCGTACGCCTCTTTGAAGGTGTGGGCGTAGAGGATCGGTGAGTTTGTTGGGCCGAGAGGGTCGAGCTCGGCGTCGTCGCGGATAAACGCACTGTAAACGCGTCAGTAGAGTCTCGAGGGGGTGCTCAGCACACGCACCGGTCGCGGGACATCAGGCCGTTCTTGTCTACGTACCAGTCGAATAGTTTCATGTGAAGTGGTGGTGGTTTGAGTCAAGGGCGGGCTTGCTTATGTCATGGGTGTCTTCGAATTCAAGTCGAATTCGAATATTCTGAGGCGCCCCGTAAATTGCCAAAAATCGAATTCATTTCAGTCAGGAGTGAGAGTACAT